CTAGTTTTTCTACCACATTTGCTGTGATACCTTTCGAGTACATGTTCCGTGGTTTTTGCTACGTTTCAGTAAGCCCCTTTTTCTTTGCTTGAAGTGTTTACATCGTTTATAAGATCTTTCTTGGAACTGGAACATTGATTTTTCGCAATTTTCGTAATTATGATTATTGATATAAGAATGGGAGGTGGCCATGCACTATTTGTGCGCTTGCATTACATATCGAACTATCCCTAGAATAATCGAGATGCTACAAAGTTAATTTGGCCTCTTTACCTAGCTTATTCTTAACGGAAATAGTCGTTATCTATAAATTGAATAGGTCGGTTCGGGAATAAAGATTATTCAGATCATGTAATGATTCCTTAGTTCGTGCTCATGTAGGTACAAACCCTAGCCATTCCATTCCAGCCTTACGCGCTGCAAAACGTAAGAGTAGCTGCAAGGTCATACATGGCTTGGCTAAATATTAGTAGTCTAACGTGGGACACGCGATTCTGTCACTGGTTGTGCCATTGCCACAGTGTAACTAGTTCCACGAAAACATGTCCCTGAAAGGATAAGGAGACAAAAGTACATCACTCTAAAGGGGATAGCTAGTTTTCCTGACTTTTTATGGCAGAAGTATTGGCGGGTGGTGCCAGTTTAACTTTAGCTTGATGAAATCTCTGTCATCCAATATTGTCGTTTAAGATGGTTCTCTTGTGAAGCAATCATTCGTTGGTCATACGGGTTGGGTTTCATGTGTGAGATGGAATCCTTGCGATGAGAGATGTTTCGTAAGCTCATCATTTGACAAGTCGGTCAAAATGTGGGATATTAGGTGAGTACTTTACTATTTGATCGGACTATTTAAGCTTATTCTCCTACGCAGACCATCAATATTAAGATATTCTGGACATTTTGTTTCCGCTGAAGAGCTTAGAAAAACGACAGTTTCTCTGAATAACAAAACGTTTCAGATCGTCAAAAACTTCATTGTTTGATTTACATGGGCATGATGATCGTGTATTATGTTGTGCATGGGGTCAGAATGGTCTTATAGCAAGCGGATCTGCGGATGCTACAGTGAAAATATTTTCAACTACTTGATGTTCCCTCTTTTGCACGCTTTTGTTGACCCTGTTCCTAATCTTGAACTATATGGAGCTTGTGTGCCATGCTTATTCTTCCGCTGAAAATGCTTAATTATATTAGATATGTTGTATTCAATGTTGTTGACAAAGACTGTTTGTTTTGTTGTTGAAAAATTTAAAATAAAAATTCTACAGGTACTAGTGGAGATCGCTCATGAAGTGGTCGTTAGCCACAAAAACCTATTTGTGCATCATGTGCCTCCGTTCCGCCTAACCTACGTTTTCCTTATGTTTACTATATTTAGTTCGTTTTAGAAGTATTTGTTGTTTGACCGTTCATCGCAGCATACAGCGCCAAGATGGGGAAGGGTTTCCAAAACTTTATGTCCAAAAAGGACTTCCATCCAAGCGCTTGGTGGAATTTGAAGAGGGTTTGTTCCTTATATTAATAAGCCACCTGCCTCGATAACTATCTTCCCGCTTCAGGTCTGGGAAGTTCGTCAACAAAAAGCGATTGATGATAAACGACAAGAGGATCTTCGTGTTCAGTATGAGAAAGAACAGGAAATGCTCAACAACAAGTAAATTTTTGATACTCTCTAGCATTTACTATTCATTAGTGCTTAAACTGTTAACTGATAAGTTGTGACCTATTTGAAGAGCTCTTCTGGGTGATGAAAAGGCAAAAATGGGCTTGTCCTTCATGTATGATGCTCCAGCAGGAATGACTAAAAGGGAAGAACCGAAGGTAATGTGTTTTGAAAACTTCCTATAATGTGTAGTGTAGTATTATCGCGGTATTTTCATAGGAAGAGCCAAAATTCGAGTGGCAACGCAAGTATCATGCACCTCGTGAAGAATGGGCCAAGGATAATCAGGATATCCAGGATCAGCCATTCGGTATTCAGGTAGGTCCCTTCCTTCCCTTGTCACAATTGAAAGCCAAGTTCTGGTAAATGCTAGGCTTCGTGAATGGGGCTGGCATCTTCAAATTGGCAGTTGCGCAAATCGTTCGCTCCTGACGGATGTTCATGCCCAGCAATGATAGTTTATCGTTCAATCTTTCCTCTTATGTAGAGAGATAGAACGTGATGAATAATTTCTCGACCAAACCCTTGGCCTATTGATCGAAAATTCATATCCAATGCTGTAGACTCTACACTCTTTCGTCGAGCATTTTTTACAGTTTTCTGTGTACTTCCTGAATATCTTCTGAATATTCTTTTATCGTAGGTACGCAACGTGCGTTGTTGCAAATGCCACAAATGGGGCCACTTGAACACTGACAATGAGTGTCCCCTGTATGGAATGAGTGGGAATTTTGAAGACGCTGGATGTAAGTTTTCCATAGGCCTGTTCAGTTGCCGTACT